GGTTCTGATTTGTTTGGCCTTGGATATGGCCTCGGCATCTAGTTTTTTAAAGAGCTCCCGGGTGATTCCAGTATGCAATCAAAGTCTAAAACTTCTAGTCTAGAAGGATAGTGGGGCACAAAAAAAGAACACACAACTACAGCATGGACGGAACCAAGGTAACATTTGACAAACCGGCACAACAAGGAGTATTCAGTAACACAAAAAAGCAGGAAACAGCTCATCCTATTTTAAAACTTTGGAATACTCATTCTGGGAAGGATATGACACCAACAAGCTCAGGGGAGTAGCCTGGAGTAGCAAACAGGAACAGAGAAGGAAGCAATACCAGGAGGTATAGTGGAAAAGGTAGATGTTCCACCTTCCTGTCTGGGTTTGGTCTTATAAAAATAGGGGTCACTGGGCTGGAGAGATGGCTCAGGGGTCAAGAACACTAATTGTTCTTGCAGAAGACCCTGGTTCAAATCCCAGCACCCACATGGCAGCTAACAACTGTCCATAACTCCAGTTCCAGGGGATCCAACAGCCTCTTCTGTCCGTAACTCCAGTCCCAGGGAATTGGTTCCTGTCTGGGTTTGGTCTTATAAAAATAGGGGTCACTGGGCTGGAGAGATGGCTCAGGGGTCAAGAACACTAATTGTTCTTGCAGAAGACCCTGGTTCAAATCCCAGCACCCACATGGCAGCTAACAACTGTCCATAACTCCAGTTCCAGGGGATCCAACAGCCTCTTCTGTCCGTAACTCCAGTCCCAGGGAATTGGATTGCATACACATAAAATAAAAATAATAAATAAAATATTTTTTAAAAATAGGGGTCACTATAAAAAAGAAAAGAAAGAAAATAGGGGTCACTAAATAGTTCTAAGAAGGGGAAAAACATTGTATTAGTAGTTTACAAATATGACTTTTCTGACTGGTGTGGTGAGTTGGACTGATGCTATTGTAGCTCCAGGCAAGAAGCCCAGTTACAAGGTCATTGCCAAGTTCAAATGAGAAATGATGAGGTCTTAAATACCAATTAATGGCAGTGAACCTGAACAGGAAATGACTATTCATAAGATGTTAAAGAGATGGAATTGGCAGGATGTGGTCACTGTGGGTGATTAGGACGACTGTATTCCTGATTTGAATTATAGAATGGCCAGAACAGGGGATACCAGGTGTCTAATGGGAAAGAGAGAAGTGGAAAATGAATTAATTCCTTTTGATTCACTTTAATTTGAAATGCTGGTGGGATTGTCCAGTAAAGTCCTGCAGTTAACTTGTCAAGATGAAAGCAGGAGACTTAGAAGTGATGTGTCCCTGAAGATGTGAATGTAGGAGTCATCAGAATTTAAGGGGGTCAAGTCTGGCCAGAAGACAAATTGCCACAAGTAAAAAATACACAGTTCTATAGAGCATAGATACAAGAAAGGAGCTGCATTTTGGCTGCCAAATAGGTTGAGGTGGCAGGAATAGAACCAGGAAGAAATTATGTAGAGAACAAAAACAGTAGTGTTTAAAGAAAACAGCAACAAAAGATATCAGATGCTTCTGAATGACCAAAGAGCTTTAAGATTACATCAGAGGAGTTGCAGTACTCATGTATGAAATTCTCAAAAAAATAAAACTTTTAAATTATCAAAATGATATGTCCATAGGTTGATGGGGCAACATCACTGGAATGCTGGTTCTAGAACCATTATTACAATTGATTTAAGACTGAATTTTAAGTTCCTGTCAAAAAATATGTAGTGAATACATTTAGAAGATTCTTTCCCTGCACTTTACATATACAAAGTAGGTATATAACTTTAAAAGTATATCTAATAGATAACCAAACTCAAAAAAGAAGAAATCATTCTCCAGATTACCTGAATGAAAGAGAAATTAAGGGGCTGGAGAGATGGCTCAGCAGTTAAGAGCACTGACTGCTCTTGCAGAGGATCCAGATTAGATTCCCAGCACCTACATGGCAGCTAACAACTGTCTGTAACTCCATTTCCAGGGGATCTGACGCCTTCTTCTGACCTCCGCAGGCATTACACAAGGGTGCACTTACATGCAGACAATATACTCATATATACAAAATAAAAATAATAAATAAAAATATTTTTTTAAGAAGAGTAATTTTTTTTTGTCTTTTTTGAGACAGGATCTCCTTGTAGCCCAAGCTGTGCTGAAACTCACTATGTAGACCAGGCTGGCCTCGAACTCACAAAGATCCACCTGCCTCTGCCTCCGAGCACTGGGATTAAAGGCATGCTCCCCAATGCCCAGCAAGAAGAGTAATTTTAAAAGCCACGAGAATAAGCAACTGTTGAAGTTAAGAGGCCCACAGAGGTATCTAGCCATAGGTAGAGGCAACAACAAAAAGGCTTTTTATTTTTATTTATCTATATATTTATTTATTGGTTTTTTTGAGACAGGGTCTCCCTAGAGCCCTGGTTTGCCTGGAACTCGCAATGTAACCAGGCTGGCCTCGATCTCATAGAGATCTCCTGTCTCTGCCTCCCGAGTCCTAGGATTAAAGGTGTGTGCCACCACACTCAGCCAAAAAGGGCTTTTCAACACCTGTGGGCTTTATGTGCACACAAGTTATACATGGGAAGGTTTTATCCCAGATTGGAACCAAGAACACTGGATTCTCAGGATGCTTCTTTGATGGAATGTCTTTGAAGAAGAGAGAAGAGCTGTGGTAGAGATAAATGCCAGAGCAAGGAAGAGAATCATCGTGCACTATTTAGAAAACTAACAGTACACAAATGCATTGTGGAGAGGAATCCATAAAGTATAGGAAGAAAAGGAGGCAATAGGGCTGGAGGGATGCTCAGCACTTAAGAGCATAAGTTTTGTTCCCAGCACCCATGTCAGGCTGCTCACAGTTGCTCATAACTGCCTATAACTCCAGTTCCTAGGGATCTGACACCCTCTTCTGGCCTCCACCAGCACCCCCACACATGTGGCATACACACACAAATTAATTAATTAAATCTTTAAAAATGAGGTTATAGAGCCCCAAAAGCCTAAGTGGAGGAATTACTAGAAATGAATGAAAATGAAATATACTTGAGTGTAAGCCTATTGGAGACAGAATGTTGAAGTATATAATACATACCTCCCTTTCTCTGTCACATAAAAAGGATGTGGGGATAAGCAATGAGAAGATAGAAAATAATCCTTTGAAATTTATTTCACTTTTTACTTAAGTGTGTGTGTGCTCATGTACCTGTGTGTAGGTGTCATGGAGGCCAGAACAGGGAGTTGGATTGGATGCTGTGGAGCTGGAGTTACAGGTAGTTATGAGCTACCTGACATGGGTGCTGGAAACTGAACTCTGGTCCTCTGGAGGAAGAGCAAGTGCTCTTAACCATTGAATTATCTCTCCAGCACCCACAAAACAATTTTTTTAAGTAGCCACTAAGGGAAATGGGGGAAAGAACATGATTGTAGGGCTTGCTTACAGTAGAATATCATAAAATCTGAGGTGATATAATTCTGTAATAATGCAAGTATAAAATTATAAAAGTTGGGGGCTGGAGAGGTGGCTCAGCAGTTAAGAGCACTGACTGCTCTTGCAGAGGACCCGGGTTCAGTTTCTAGCAGCCATGTGGCAGCTAGTAACCATCTGTAGTAACTCCAGTTCCAGAGGATCTACCACCCTCTTCTGACCTCTGTGGATACTGCATGACATGAATACACTTTACATATATGCAGGCAATACACTCATACACATAAAATAAAAATAATAAATACATTTTTTAAAAATTAGAAAGATTACAAAAGTTGGGTAGCAGAAAAGATGCAAAGAAAAAATGAGGGAATCAAGAACAAGGGGACCAGTGGGTGTAATTTGAAAGAATGGAGGGAAGAAGATTCCTCCATCATAATTTTACAGCTTTGACCAAAGCTTCTATTAGAAACATTTGCTTGAAAATGAACAAGAAATATACTAGAAATCACCCACAGTTATCATAGTCTAGCTTATGTTAAGAGAACCAGGGTAGTATTGCTCCCTGCAATATGAAATCATGTTAACCTTGGGTCAGGCTGCCATGAGTCAAGATTTGTAGGCTTCAATATATCTTGTCTACATACAGAGTTTCTGTTGGGTCAAGGAGCTCTTATTATAGGTACATGCAACCATTTATATTTATTTGTAAATGTGCAATGTGTCCCACTGTGATTCCTAACACCAAAAGATATCCCTGCCTGTGATGTGAGGAGCATCTTGGTCATCATCAGAGGGTGGCCAACTAATTAGCACTCCAAAAGTAAATGTCACTTCTGTCAGTAAGTATTGCTGATGAGAATTTTTAGACCCTTAAATTCAGCTAGTGGCAGACCATTGAGTAGAAAAAGGGGCTTTTTAAGTTGAGATTGAACATTTAAGGTGCCTTTACAGGTACATTCTGGTAAGAGCAGCATTACCCACGGGCCCTTTGAAAGGACTTGAAGCCTGTCAACTCTAGGTCACTAGCCAAAGCCCAGTGGAGTTAGCTTAATAATGAAAGGTTTTTTCTGCCTGACATTTGGGGCATAGGACTTCTTTGTCATGGTAGATTTGCTTTGAACAAAGGGGTGTCCTTTGTTCAGAACCTACTTTTAAACAGAGCTAATTGGTAGTGTAAACCAAAAAATGTCAGAGGATATACTCTTTGTAACATGTCATACTTCAGGTACCATTATTTTGTCATTTAATAGTATTTTTAAAAATATGATTGCCCTACTTTTTATTTGTTGAACATTTCTTGAAAGATCCCGCCCCAAACTTTCCTGTACATTGTGTTTATCCTAAGAGATTAACTGTAAGAGGAGCTAATTAGTATTATCAGCCTATTATTATTCAAAATTTAGAAACTAAGAATGACCAATAATGTGATCTGTCACTGCTTCCAGCACAGACAATGGTTATGTTAAGATTAGAGCTGGGTTTAGCATCTTTTTCTGCAGAAAAGGTAGATGAAAAATACTAAACGAATATTATGCTAAAGTGTCTCTTTCTTTTTGTCTGTTTTAGGGGCATTGCCCAGTCAGAAGAGAAGCTTGTTATTAGTGCATCATGGGCAAAAGATGATGATATCAGCAGACTCTTGAAATCACTACCAAACTGGATCAATATGGCTCAGCCCAAGCAGCTGAGGCCCAAGAGGGAAGAAGAAGAAGATTTCATAAGGTAAAAGTCTATTTTCTAAGTTACATCAGATACGGGGAGGAAAACCCCATGTCTTTAGTAGGTCCTTTCTTACATGAAATTCAGGCAGTTCTGAAGATCAAGCAGCAACTACTTAATTTGAAAATCTCAATCTCATCTCACCTCCCTTCTCAACAAGTGTGCCTTGAGCTCAGATCTTTAGAAAGAAGGAATTGTGAGTCAAATCAGAAGCTTTGCTAAGTTGGGCTAAAATGTCTTGTGCTCTCTAGGTCCCATACAGTCGTTTGCTTATTCACTCAGCAAAACTCTATAGCCTCTTCCCTACAAACAGGCAGCACAGTAAGGTTCCTGCTCGTACAGAGTTTGTCACATGCACACTCTGAGTATATCCTTTATTTTTTAGGTTTCTGTATTCATTCACATAGATTGTATTATTGCTGACATTTTCTACTTGTTTTAACAAAGTAAGGTCTCTCTGAACTCTCACTCAACATTTACCTTTGAACAATTTAAATGATTCATGTAACCATGGAATTTAATGAAACTGCACGTTTTCATTTGTCTAGCTTGCCACAGTAAAATACTATCACCTCTGCCACTTAGAATTGTTTAAAGTATGTGAATGACAGCAACAATACTTTGGCACTTTAAAATTGGGTTTATTCTTATTATCTTTTTCTTATTCAAGTGAAATAATAAATGGTACAATAAGATAAATGCTCTTTAAAATAGAGACCAAGAGCTGGACTTGGTGGGGCATGCCTATAATCCCAGCACTGTGGAGGTAGAGGCAGGAGGATTAGGAATTCAAGATCACCTTTGGCTACTTAGGGAGTTCCAGGAGATCCTGAGTCAAAAAAACAAAAAGCAAAGATCAGAAAAGAAATAAAAAATAAAATATTGGCCAATGTCTTGCTTTCAATTTATGATAGAATGATGGGTTCACCTGTCTCTCAGAAATATCCATTGCAACTGTAGATGGTTAAGTCTTTACTGTTTATGAAATTAACTGTATTCATACCCTTTAGTGATGTATGCTTACTGATATTTTATGAACTTGTTTCTGTGGTATCATTTGAGGTTTTTTTCAGAACAGTGATACTTAAAAGTTTATATATACTTTAACTTTCTATTCTTTTTATTATATGCATACATTTGCAGTTCATAGACTTTATTTTGAGGGAAACAGTTTTACAGAAAAAAAAAAGAAAAAGTATGGTTTCCATATATCCCATTTATTTCCCCTATTTTTAACATTTTGTGTTACTGTTCTATAGTTGGTAAAGTTTGGTTGTGTGATACTAATACATTGTGATTAACTAAAGCCTATAGTTTACAGTATGGCCCACTCTTTGTACATACATTTTGTGGATTTGAATCTCATTTTTTATTGCCCTAAAAATCCAGTATGCTGGATTAAAACATACTGTACGAAAGTCACAAAAATACAATAAAAGTTTATATTTAAAAAAGAGAAATTCCACAAGGGATAAAACTAAATACATGAACACAGATGAACACATATTAGACTAAGGACACCTGATTAAGATACAGGTATTGCACCAATGTCAGTGTCTTAGTTGTGATATATAAACTATAGTTTTTTTAAAGATCTTACCAATATGAAGAAACTAGGCAAAAAGTACATTGTATCTTTTGTATTGTCTCTTACAGCTAAATTTATCATTATTTTTAATCTATTTATTTTATGTGTGACTGTTTTGCCTGTATGTATGTAAGTGTACCCATGTCATGCCATCACCCCCCATGATCCCTTGGAACTGGAGTTATTGATGGTTGTTAGCCACCATGTAGATGTTGGGAACTGAACCAGGTCCGCTGCAAGAGCAGCCAGTGCACTTAACCACTGAGCCATCTCTCCTGTCCTTATGGTTATTTTAAAATAAAATGCCTGAGGTGGAGTGTTTGGGTTCCAGAGCCAAGGCTGTGCCAGGAGAGCCCCTTCCTGCCCCAGTATGCGTTTACAAGATTAAAAGAAAAAACCCAGTATGCTTTTCTGTTCATCCCTCTGAAGCCCTGAATATCACTTACCGCTCTATTGTCTCCATGGTTAAGCCTCTTCCCACATGCCATATACATAGGTTATACAGTGTGTTACCTCTTTACATTGGCTCATTTTGCTTAGCAGTGTTCATGTAAATTTCTTCTATATCTTTTTATTACTACAGCTCATTGATTTTTATTTCTGAATAATATTCCATTTCATGAATGGATCACGGTTTATTGATTATCTATTGAAGGACGTCTTTGTTGCTTCCAAATTTGGGCAATGTGAAGAAGACTGCCATAAACATTCATGTGTAGGTCTTTGTCTGAACCTAAGTTTTCAACTCATTTGAGTAAATACCAAGGAATGTTGCTATTATTTGAACAAACTAATACTTATTAGATCAAGGAAGAATAAAAAAGTAGATTTATTTTCACTTTCATTTATTCCCTCTCTAATATGAATCCTTTCTAGTCAGTGTCATTGCCTTCTCTCTGAAAAACAACATTTCTTAAAAGCCAGTCCTACTCACGTCAAATTCCCTCTTTTTGTTGGTCTGAGAACGTCTATTTTTCTTTCACTTTCTCATTTAAAAAAATTATTTTGCTTGGTATAGAAATTGAGGTTGGTATGTTAGTCAGTGTTCCTAGAGAAACAAAAACAATGATCTAGATAGATAAATAAAGTGTTCCTGAGATTAACCCATACATGGCTACAATTGAAAATTTGTAGGGTGAGATGTGTGTGCATTTCTGTTGGGTATATGTTCAGGCTGGAATTTCCAGGTGGTCTACGCATGTGTTGAGTTTTAGTTCACAACATCAGTTTTCTGAAGTAGTCCTAAGTGCTGGAGCGATGGCTGGCTCTGCAGTAAAGAGAACTGGCTGATCTTGCAGAGGACCTGAGTTTGGGTCCTCACACCCATGTCAAGCAGCTCACAATTACCCATGACTCCAGTTCCAGGGGATTTGATGTTCTCTTCTGAACTCCATGAGTAATTGCACTCACATGTGCACTTTCCTATACACAGACACACATGTACACATAATTAAAAGTAAACCAAATCATTAAAAATAGAAAACAAAGTAAGAGTTTGCATCTTCACAGTAGTACACGAGCGTTCCAGTTGATCTCTGTGTTGTTGGTACCTTATGTCCTCCATCTTCTTAATAGCAGCCATTCTGGTAGGTACCTTGAGGTGGCACATTGTCATTTTACATGCATTTCTCTCGTAAGTGAGGTTGAGCAATCTCTATGTGCTTTATTTATTGGCCGTTTATTGGCCTTCATGATTCTTTTTCAAACTTGCTGCTTATTTTTAAATTAAGTTTTCTGTTTTTTTGTTTGTTTGGTTTTTTGTTGTTGTTGTTGTTGTTTTTGTTTTGTTTGTTTGTTTTTTGAGACAGGGTCTCCCTGTAGCCCCGGCTGACCTGGAACTCATATGTAGACCAAGCTGACCTTGAACTCACAGAGATCCACCTGCCACTGCCTCCCAAGTGCTGATATTAAAGGCGTGTGCCACCACACCCAGCTTGTTTTGTTTTCTCTAATGATTTTTAGGCGTGTTTTCTATCTCAGGTTGGAGCACCTTTGTTATAGATAGACCATGCTTCTCCCACTCCACAGGTTGTCCTGTTACTTAATGTTATCTTTCACTAAACACTAAAGAGACTTTTGTTATTGTTTTTTTGTTTTTTGGGGGTCTCCTGTAGCCCCAGCTGTCCTGGAACTCACTATGTAGACCAGGCTGGCCTTAAACTCACAGAGATCCACCTGTCTCTTCCTCCTGAGGGCTGGGATTAAAGGCATGCGCCACCACACCGGGCTAAAGAGACTTTTTAACATTTTAAGTCAAATTCATTATTTTATGGATAGGACATTTTGTATAAGTTTTCCTTGCAAACTTTGGTTGTGGTGATCCTCCAGCATCTGAAAAAAAAAAAAAAAAAGTAAGCTCTTAATTTTTTATTTCTGTTCCCTGTAACCCTAAACTTCCCTCAGGTGAGATCATGTTATCATGGCTTTCGTAGTAGAGAATATCCTCATAATATCTCCCAGCAGAAGAAGTAATGAATGATTGAAAGAGCCATTAGAACCCAGGTGGATTGAATCAGCTAACCTTAATGCAGACAGCAAGCCCCGTGGCTCTGTTCTTTCACAGAATTATTGCCAAATGATTATTTTGCCAGATTTTTCAGTGATCTGAGTAAGCACATTCTCATTAAATATACTCATTTAGCCATGTCTGTTAACCTCAGTAGTTGGATTAGAAGCAATTTCTCAACAAGAATTTCTTTTTCCCCACTTTTGCTGGTTACTTCGGATGAATATGTCTTCTCATTTTTCCTCAGCTGATTATTATATAACTACTTCATTTTATTTTATACTTAGGATTTTTAATCCATTGTATTAATTATCTTTGATAGCTCAGAGTTTAAGAAAACTTTCTAATTCTGTTTCAGAAGAGAATGCTGAGCCAAAGAAACGATGCACCCCACTTTTGATTTCAGTGAGCTAGGTTAAAGAGCTATACTCCGTTACCCTTGTTTTGCTCACTGACTCAAACTACTCTCCATCTTTAACTTGAAGGAGAAGCCAATTATACAAATATTCCTTCAGTGTTTCATCTGATCTACATGAATTGATGTATAATCTTGTATATAATTCAGTGAAATAAATATGATTTTTGCCTGTATAACTAGGTCAAAATATCAAATTCTTCTAGCATCCTCAAAAAAAATCTACTTTCAAAATAAGCCGTATTCTGACTTCTACCTTCATAGTTTAATTTTGCCTGTCCTTAACTTTCATATAAATTTAATCATAGTGTCTAGTTTCTTTTGCTGAATTTTATGTTGGAGAAATTTTCCTATGTTTTTGTATGTGAGCATAGTTTGAAAAGCAAATATATTAGCTACAACAGAAGAGAAATAAATTTTTACGTCTGTTTTATTTAGATGTGATTGATTCTTTCCTCTTAACCTGTCACATTCTTTATCCAGATTAGAAGTTG